TTGAATGAGGGGGGCCTTATTCACCACGGACCTGGCATTGCACAGCATCAGCCGATGGTCCCGGGCCTGAGGATCTAAGGTCCCTGGAGGTCGAGTAGAGCCCTGAGGATCGGAGCATCCACAAGCTTGTAAGCAGCGTGTGCGTGCTCCCAAAACCCGATATGGTCCTCTGCTCCCGCCATATCTGCCCCTCCCACTGCCCGTACCTATCACACCACCCTCCGCCAGCTCCCCAGTCTCCTCCCTTACCACTCCGCGCCCCCCAGACAGGACTGGCCTTGGCCTCGGAGAGGACTCCCCTAGTTCCTCTCGGGCCAACCCCGAACCCCCTAAAAATTTAGTAAAACACCCCTCTAAGAAGACCCGTAGTTTTCTTCTTCTTAGTTCATCCTCTTTGCATCCCAGCAAAGTTTATTAGCACTAGTGTCCTAAACTCTTCATTTTCCCCCCTGCTTCCAGCCATCTTGGTAGGTGAACCTGATCTGGCCTCCATCCAAATAGAAGAAAATGTGGTGAGTTAAATGGGAAAATTAATTCTTACTGTTGGTTTTTATGTAAATGAGATTTGGAGAAGGGGATAGGAAAGCAGAGATGGTCATTCACTTAATGACTATGGCATTTGCTTAATGACCACAAATTCACTTAATGACCCCTGCAAGAAAGATTGTAAACTTGGGCTAGTCATGTGATTGACCTGTTTTATGACTGTCATGAGTTATGACCATGATAGGATGGTTCCATTATAGTCATAACTCAAGGACTCCCTGTAACAGGTTTAAAAAGTGTGACAATGAAGCTAGCAATCACAGTACGACAATCAACAAGTGACCCTACTCAAAGAGCATCCAAATTCACTTTATTTCCCAAAGACCTTTCAGAAGAGCCATGCTCTCATGCTCTCATGTCACTTGTTCCTTGCTCAGTAGAAAAAAAATATTCCTTTTTCATTCTCTTTATTGCCTGTGTGTCTCTGGCAGGAACTGCTAAACCATGTTTTTGATGATGTGGAAGCCTTTGTGAGAAAGCTGCAGAAATCTGCTGAAGCTTTCCGTGTCCTGAATCAATGCAGGCGCTCTGCAAGACGGCACCTTCGAAAGCCAGGAGGTGAGAAGATTGGCTGGGAATGCAGAAGGTTGCTAGGGAAACAGGAAATGCTTCTAAAGTCTGTCCCAATCAGAATCTTTCTGTGAGTTCTAATTCCAGAATTATTCTAGAACTTACATATCCCATCAATTAGAGATGCACATCTGATGAGATCAGGAAAAGGTCCTTCTCAGTGGTGCCCCTTCCATATAGAACATCTCCCCCTCCCCCCTGCGTATGATGGGGCCCGCCATGTTGCTTTTCCAAAAGGCGCTAAAAATGTGGGTTTGTTAGCTGTGTCTGGGGATCACTAAAAGAGATGGGCCAATCAACTTGCTGATTTGATTGTGTTATTGCTGCCATGTATGTGTGTATGATTTTTTAAAAGATTTTTATTATATAGTGCAAAATGTTGTAGGCCCACCGGAGTCAACTCTGTGTGAGTTGGATGGCGATATAAATTTGTTTAATAAATAAACAAAAACAAATAACTTCATCAGACTCCACAAAATTCCATTTTGGCTTTGAAACTTTTCCCTTCCACCATGGGCTTCTGCAATGGATCTCCTGACAATTTCAGAAGTGCCTCACGTAGATGCATTATTCTTTGTTTTTGCACAAGTCAAATGAGCTTCTTGGCCAAAAAGTTTTTAGAGACACTAGTTTTAAAATACAGAACTGAGGCCTACAAACATAATTAGACTATTATAATGGAGAGTTATTTCTGCATCAATATGGTTCAGTTGCTCTGTGTAGATTTCTAGAACCAAGACAAGAACCTTGATTTTCTCAATCTAAAAAAAAAAAAGGATTTCAGTCTTAGGGGTGGGAGTTCACCAGCCCCCAAAATAGATAAAGTTGCAGGGAGATTTTTACTGTGTTTTTTTTCTTTACCACAACCATAGAGGGACTCTTAACCATCAGAGCAAAACCCCCATCTCAAGAGGAGTTTGAAGACACTCTGTCCAAGACCAAATATTCCTTCAGCCTTCTGGTGAGTTTTGTGTATAGTTTTTTTTTTCTCCCAAGGAAAAGGAAGATACCTTCTTGGGTTATGCTTACAACTAAATTATACTTTTCCCCCCCACTACTTAGGCAAGGCTGCAATCTAACATCACTAACCCTACTTCAGAGGAGCTACTATGTATTCTTTTCAAGCCCTTGAAGATGGTAAGTGCTGAAGAAGAGGAAGAAATGAGGTATTTGGTAGCTGAATTAGTAATAGTGTATTTCTCAATCTTACATCTCCCAAATTGTGGACTTCAACTCCCAGAATTCTCCAGCCTATATGGACGTGATATAGAATTATGTGAGTAACCAAGATTGGGAAACAATAGATTTGTAAATATACATGGGCAGTTGGATTGTAAAAGCAGTAGAATGATATGAAATTGTGTTAAGGGACTATATTATTTAAATAGCACATGTGAAATGTGAAGCTGAATTCCATAGGAATAGGGGAGAATTCCTGCACAACAAAATGCAAGAAGGCTAATACAGTACACTTTCTCTGAATTGCTTCGTTTCTGTATCCTTTTTTTAATAAAATACTTTGGGCCTCAGTTCCATTAGTTGCAGAATTGTGTAATACTGTATAATCCATGAAAAGCTTTATCATGGGATTAGGTTGCACGTACCAATGATTCCTAGATGAGTGTATATCTCAGGGGCTGCCACAAAGAAGAGGGAGTCAAGCTATTTTCCAAGGCGCCTGAAGGCAGGACGAGAAGCAACGGATGGAAACTGTTGTGTCCTGAGCCTGCAAGAGGCAGGCTCGGGACGTTGCAAGAGTCCCGGGCAATTGCAGAAGCTGCCCGGGACCAGACTGAGCGGTGCCAGCCTTGTGTGCATGCGCAAGGCGGGAAAAGCCCGCCTCATGATTGGTTAAACTTGCCCGGGGATCTGAGGGTATAAATAGAGGCCTGCGTGCCTCTGCTCGGGTTGTTCGTAGAATGGAGCAAACAATAAAGACTTGTTGGAAGATGCTTCGTCTCAAGCGCCATTATTCTCCGGACTTAACACTGGCGACGAGGGTGGGATCCAGTCTCTACAGCTAAGAAAAGCTAGAAGACTCACCCAAGAAGTCCGGAAGAGAAACGGCGTGGAAGTCAGCGTTATCCTGCCAGTACGAAATCACTGGAGGGTGCGTGCGGCTGAAGAAGAAGAAAACCTGATCCTCGATCATGGCAAAAGTTGGGCGTTTAGCGGAATTCGACGTCTCTCACCCCGAGAGGTGGGAATCTTACGTGGCAAGAGTCGAGACGTATTTCCGCATAAACCAGATTCGGGAGGAAGGCTTAAAGGCTGCCACATTGTTGTGCGTTTGTGGGCAAGA